ACCAAATAGATCATATTTGCATCAACAAAAAATTCCGAAGGACAATCGAAGATGTGAGAACCAGGAGAGGCGTTGACGTAGCTTCAGATCACCACCTAGTTGTGGCCAATTTAAAACTGAAGCTAAAAAAGAACTGGACAAGTGGACAAACAGCACTACAAAGGTTCAATACAGCCTTCCTTCGAGATACTGACAGACTCAATGCATTCAAGATAGCTCTCAACAACAGGTTCCAAGCCTTACAAAATCTACTGAAAGAAGAAGGAACTAGTATGGAGGACAACTGGAAAGGCATCAAGGAAGCATTAACTTCAACGTGTCAAGAGGTTCTGGGTCTAAAGAAATACCATCATAAGGAATGGATCTCTACAGAAACACTGAACAAGATCAAAGAAAGGAAGAACAAGAAGGCAGCAATAAACAACAGCCGAACACGAGCAGAGAAAGTCCAAGCACAAGCTGAATACATAGAAGTAAGCAAGCAAGTGAAGAGGAGCATTAGAGCCGACAAGAAGAAATACGTGGAAGAACTACAAACGACGGCAGAAAAAGCTGCTAGAGAAGGAAATATGAAACAGCTTCACGATACAACGAAGAAACTAGCAGGGAAATACAGTAAACCAGAGAGGCCGGTCAAAGACAAAGAAGGCAAGCCAATCACCGAAATTCAACAACAGCGGAACAGATGGGTAGAATACTTCGAGGAACTCCTGAATAGGTCGGCTCCAATGAATCCACCGGACATCGAAGCGGCATACACAGATCTTCCCATAGACGTCAACCCACCAACGAAGGAAGAAATCAGAATGGCCGTCAGACAAATCAAGAACGGGAAAGCAGCGGGTCCGGACAACATACCAGCTGAAGCACTGAAATCAGACATCGAAGCAACCACAAGCATGCTTTACCTTCTATTCAAAAAGATTTGGGAGGAAGAACGAGTGACGATGGACTGGAAAGAAGGGCATCTCGTCAAGATTCAAAAAAAAGGAGATCTGAGCAAATGTGAAAAATATAGAGGCATTACACTGCTGTCAATACCAGGGAAGGTCTTCAACAGAGTGTTGCTGAACCGGATGAAAGATGCAGTAGATGCCCTACTTCGAGATCAACAAACCGGATTCCGTAAGGATCGGTCGTGCACAGACCAAATTGCAACACTACGAACCATCGTCGAACAATCAGTTGAGTGGAACTCATCACTATACATCAACTTCATTGATTATGAAAAAGCATTCGACAGTGTAGATAGGAGGACATTATGGAAACTTCTTCGACAACACGGAGTTCCTGAGAAGATTGTCAGCATTATCCGGAACTCGTACGACGGACTACAGTGCAAAGTCGTGCATGGAGGACAGCTGACAGATGCATTCCAAGTAAGGACCGGACTCAGACAAGGCTGTTTACTCTCTCCCTTCCTCTTTCTTCTAGTGGTCGACTGGATTATGAAGACCTCGACATCTGAAGGAAAACACGGAATACAATGGACAGCTCAGAATCAATTAGACGATTTGGACTTCGCAGATGACCTAGCCCTCCTATCACGTACACACGAACAGATGCAGATGAAGACAGCCAATGTAGCAGCAGTCTCTGCATCAGTAGGCCTCAGCATACACAGGGAAAACCAAAGTCCTCAAATTCAAGGCGGAAAACAACAATCCAATCACTCTTGATGGCGAAAGTCTGGAAAATGTAGAGTCTTTCACATACCTAGGAAGCATCATCGACGAACAAGGAGGTTCAGATGCAGACATAAAGGCAAGGATTGGCAAAGCAAGGACAGCATTCCTACAGTTAATGAACATATGGAACTCAAAACAACTTTCAACCAATGTCAAAGTGAGAATCTTCAATGCCAACGTCAAGGCAGTTCTACTGTATGGAGCTGAAACTTGGAGAACTACAACAACCACAATCAAGAAAGTACAAGTATTTATAAATAGCTGTCTACGCAAGATACTCAACATCCATTGGCCGGATACCATCAGCAATAGCCTTCTGTGGGAGAGAACAAACCAACTTCCAGCTGAAGAAGAAATTAGGAAAAGACGATGGAAATGGATAGGACATACATTACGCAAATCGTCAAACTGCATCACGAGGCAAGCGCTAACTTGGAATCTTGAAGGGAAGCGAGAAAGAGGAAGGCCAAAGAACACATTGCGTCGGATAATAGAAGCAAATATGAAAGCAATGAATTACAACTGGACGGAGCTTGGAAGAATTGCCCAGGAAAGGTTTGGTTAGAGAATGCTAGTGAGCGGCCTATGCTCCTTCACGAGGAGTAACAGGCGTAAGTAAGTAAGTTATTGTTCCGATGCTAGATTTGTTTATAAGATCTGATCGATTCACAAACCATTCAAACATTTTACTTATCTGTTACACTGCTCTTGAGATTAAGTGATTGATTGCACTCTTTTTTCTTGACTGGTCTCTCTATTTTGCCTTATATCCCTCCTGGCATCCCCGTTGTGACGTATAATTAGTGACGTTTTTTGCTGCCTTATTCGCAGTCATCCACATGGTTCCGCTTATCAGTTTTGATGTTTCTGTTTACTCTATTATTTTCTTCCGTGTATTCGACAAGTGCCTTAGCTTTTCTGCCATTTTTTGGCTGTTGTTGGCTTCAGTTTTCGTGCTTTCCCTCTCTCAAAGCCTGGCAAGTGTATAAACAGGAATCCAGTCAGCATCCTGGTGCTTCTCGCAGCTCAACACATCCGAGCATTATTGAAGTAATCGCTACATTAATGTAGTTCCAATTTTTTACCATAGTGGATTCCTCTTTTCCTAGATCTTGTAAAGCCTGGAGCTAGTTACTGAGATCCATTTAGAATTCGTTGAGTTTATCAGCATCTAGAAGGAACGCTGTCTTGAACCTTTGTAATGCTATTTGTTCAGTTGTTCAGTACTCCTCCAGTTTGAGCTTCATCCTGGCTACCATCAGGTGGTAATCAGCAGCTATAGCAGCCTAAAATGTTATCGATGCTGATGTAGTCAGCATGGTTCTTCGAAGTGTAGATCGGTGAAACCCATTTAGTTTTGTGTTCGCATTTGTGAGGGTCGACGATGTACTTATGACTATGCTGAGGGAAACCTATTAACATGCAGGTCTCTAACCCTTCTCATCCCTTCGTCCAAGCTATGTAGTCCCTTGACCTACTCACACACGATGTGTTCCATTCGATCATAAGATTTAGGTATCCCATTAAGTTTGTCAGACATTTCTCTAGGTGTTTTTCCCACGACTGACTACAGCCTCTTACAAAACTGATCTTTATTGTCTCCCCTTCCAAAATTAGTTTGAACAATATACTATATGACATCCATTTTAATCCATTACTTAATTTTATAGCACTCTTTTATGATCATGGAGCCATGAGATTTTCACCCTACAGACGGTTTTCCAATTGTTTTTATAGAATTATTTAGAATTATTTTATGCTAAAGACAATTTCTTTATGACCACAATACAATAGCAACTGTTCCGAAGGTAATATTTTCTGTCTAACTTAATCCCAATGGATTCCACTTATTCAGAGCACCTCTAGGTCGTATCTTTACATTTCAACAGCTAAATGAATGTTATATCCAGTTTCCCATATTGTGTGAACATTCTATGCACCTATATATATTGTCAATTTCATTATCAGAATTGAAATGGGCCTCATGATTTCCGAGGTGTAAAAGCTATTGTAAATGAAGACTCTTCAAATTCCAGTGCCGAGCTTATAACGTCTATGTGATTTTTCCCGGTCTTTGTTTTATAGCAAGGTTTGTTCCACTGGGTGGTGTTGCTGCAGTGAACGAGAACACCAATGGGGACAAGCAAATGTAATTTAACTCAACATTACAAAATATCTTGGTAAAATCTGAGAACTATACAGCAACGATTCATTTTCAAATATCCGTCAACTGTCTCAGACCTGATTGTTCCATTCTTTGTTCTCGTTCTCTTCTCCTTTATGTTCCAAACCTTCTACCAGGCATTTCACTTTCAATTAGTGATACGTATCACCTATATCTGTCAACATCAGTAGTACACACTATATTGCTAGCTTCTTGCCTTTTTTTGACTCTGACGAGGACCGGTGAGTTGTTTGACATTCAGTGAATTAACTGCCGTATGATTTGCTTAAGCCTCAGTAACATTTCACTGGCCCCAGATAAGGTTGAAGCGGAGTCGAAAGTGCCGTTATTCGAGACAGTTGAGATACTCTGAATTTTTGTGGTCTAAAATTATTCAGAAAATTCATAACAATCAACGCCGTAAACAATCTTCGGCCAGTATTAGAGTAGTTTTCATATATTTAATAAGTTGTAGCATGGTGTTGAGTGGAGAATGTCTATGAACACCGTTACAAAGAAACTCGTTCCAAATGACTCCATAAAATCCCCGAGAAGCCAAATATCAGAAGGCAATTAATGGACCAAATCGAGATATATTCGCTGGCGATCTCGTGGCATTGAAAGGATACCGAGATCGTGCCAGGATAGAAGCTTGGTTACAGAACGTAAACGAATTCGCGCGAAGTTACAATCTAAGTGTGAGAATGAGAATGGGAGCACAATATAGCCGTCATTAGCACAGTCAAACAAAATCACATTAAAACAAACACTGGTACAGTTGGTTACAATAATAATTGTTTTTATTAAACCAGTTGTGTTCTCGTGATAAACGTGAGTCACTACAAAGTCTTGTCTTAGGTGTTTCTCTACTATAGAACAGTAAAAAATATTTTGCATCGTATCGACAGGAAGCCGCGAAATCATTTTATGAAATTTAGCTAAAATTCTTTTGATAAAGAGTGAATACACTGAATTCATATTTCTTAGAATTTAGATGGCAAATGAGAGAACTAATTATCTGCAACGCCATAGATACCGTGACTATAAGTTCAAAGATTGCTCAAAATCCAATTTAAAACAAACAAAAACGAGGTATTTAATTAAAAATAACTTTCTTGTATCTTATCCATAGCCATGTGATACGTAGTAGCTCAAGTAAAATATTGTGAATTGAAGGGCGGTGATTGTGATAGCAGGCGTTCGTAGAGGGTTGGGCAATGTACTTATAGTTTCGATTCCGACATTGTCATTATCTGAGGCTTGTGTTACCGCTGATTGTTGTTTTCTGCTTTCCTTAAAATGTAAGTGCACTTTTGGTGCCTGATCTGTTTCCTACTGAACTTTTATTCTTCTCCCCACCTCTCCTCATGCTATTCGGCATCCTCCCCTAGTGTACTGTATCCTCTGGTTAGACGCAAACTGCTACACGTTTTAGGGATTGTTTGAACTGACTGGATGATAATTCAACTTTTCAACCTGAGTGGTCCTAGTTTATCTCACTGAGGCTCAACCTACACTATGATTGTTTTTTTCCTCGACATTTTGCGTACGATATTGTCAAACAACATGCCTAACAACATCAGAGAAATCGCTAGAATCTAACAGACACTCTTCTCGTTGGCAACTCACTTCGTAAGTGGTCAAACCGCATGCCTGCTCTTCATAACTGTTTGACGTGACATTGATATCAATCACTACATTCATATCTCAGATGCAAATTATCATAACATGAGAGAATGTCTATTAGAATTTCAATGAACTGTACATATGACAGCTAGTAGCCGCATACTACTACCTCTCATTTTTTCCCCAGCTAGCCGTGAATTTAGGCAAGCTTATTCGATGTATCAGTCGTTTTCCGAATCTACTATAAGTGATACTCTAAAGATCATTCTGAAAGTACATGACAGTGGTGTAAACCTATCACTCAAAAAAGATCAACCTGGCAATGAAATTTTCAAGTCATCACATGATTCAGTTGTACTTTATCATTTGGTGATCGTTGTTTGAATGAATAAAGTCTAGATTATTTCCTCAAGATCGGTAAAACTTGGTACCTTTACTAATCTAAGAATTTTTTCGAGTAGTTGTATCATTGCTTGCTAGGGTATTATTTTCTACTTCACGATTAGGTTTTCCATTTTATTCATTTGTATTTTTAACCATATTAATTATTCGCTTCAAATCGCTCTTGTCTGCGCTTCTGTGTTCCAGTTTCAAGTAAGCGACGAGAAAATACTAGAGACTAATGGAAGCTGTTGCTAACTATCCATTTACTCCTACTGAACCTGACGAACTTGGGTTTGAAAAAGGTAGTACTTTATATATTATTGATATGGAAGAGGATCCGAACTGGTATAAGGCCCGACAAGGGAACCAAGAAGGCATGGTACCTGCAAACTATATTTCTTTGTATCCTCATCCATGGTACATACCCAGATGTAGTCGGCGAGAGGCAGAGGCCAGACTTTTAGAAACTGATCCGGATACGAATCGGGACATACAACCTGATGGAGCATTTATTTTACGGCAAAGCGAAAATGATCCTGGTCAGTTCAGTATCTCGGTCAAGTAAGTTAACGATATATATATATATATATATATATATATATATTACTGTTCGTTTTGTTGACTTCTAGCAAGTCATCGGGAAATCGTTCTTAAGCTATGGGACAGCTAACTTCATAGGTGCTTTGCAAGACGTTTGTTCAAAATTGCTCTTTTCTCTGCGATATAAAAGTTATTATATTTAGATCTTATGCTTGTTCATCCCATCCTTTCTTTTTTAGTCAGCGACTATCCAATGATTAAGTTTTTGATTCGAACTCCGGGAAACGAGTTAGTATTACTAGCCCTCACACTCAATGCAAAGTACGTAAATATGTACCTAGCCAGTTAGTTAATAAAAAAGCGTTTTGTTATTTTGGTCTTGTGTTTCAGAGTATAACAGTCTAAACTGTTCCACTACTACACAGACCTGTGTTCTGTTTACTGGTAGTTTGTCAAATCGAAATTTCCAAAACAGGTTAAAAAGAATCACGATCTAGATTTCGACATAACTACTATATTTATTAAAGTTTATATATCATAGCTCAATAAGGCATTCAACGGTACTTTGCATCGTGTTTATTCAAAATATTTAATATATTTCATTGTTATGTACCTTACAGAGAGGGTTCATCGGTTTTGCATTTCCGTATATTTTTCGATCCAAGTGGTAAGTATTACATCTGGACGAATAAATTCGACTCAATCAATGCCCTAATCGATTATCATCGTCATCAAACAATATACGGGGTAAAAGCACTCCTACTACGTGATTGTGTTTCAAGTAATGTAAGTTATGTTGGGCATAATTTCTTATTCATTGGAACCTGTTCTTGTATATTTACTATTATATACATGTACGCAAGTCCATCTTGGTTCATTTTCCAGCACTTTTGATTCTCTTACTCCACACTAGTGCCCTTAAAAGTAGTAATAAATTCAGTTAGTCAGTAACAACGTAGAACTTCGTACGTACGTACATCAGTTCGAGTTGTCATACCATATTAGCACAGAGATACAATTGTCTATTCAAATCCCATAGTGGTAGAGGTAGTAAAAGTATAAGCAGTAATCGGAAAGATTAGGGTTTGAAGATGTTATTTAAAGAGTATAATCCAGTGAAATAAATTTCGTAAGATTAAAAGAAGAAAGGGACATGAAGGATTCAGAAGATTAGAATTTGGGAGAACACAAAGAATGGATGCACCTGCGCCATTGCAAGCGATTTCGAACCATGTCATTCAAATTGTCTAGCCATTGGTTGCTATCATCTCGCGGATCCCAACCAGGTAGTCTACACCTACCAACATGACTCAGTCCACTTGTCAGTGACTTCATGTATTTGTGCCATGTTTTGGTCTGGCCGCCCCTAGCTTTCTTCCAACCTACTTCTACACAAAACATCACACGTCGATGCAGTCGGTGGTTGGGCTTACGTAAACACGTCCCAGCCGTTCTAACTGATGGAGATTCACTACTTCATCAATTGATTTTCCATCCTTACCTAGTACCAGTTTCCTAACAGCTGCATTGCTTACTCGATGGTCCCAGGACATACAAGCAATTCTTCGAAGACAGCCTACGAGTATCCTCTACTCTTACGTAGATTGCTTTCATATCACGGTACTATGCCGCTATCGAACTAATTCTAGGGTTTATAAATTGGTTTAGTATGGAGGCTGCTAGGACGACGTTTGTAAGACATGTTTAGTTTATCAAATCAAGTGTTTTGAAAAGGTTACACCATTTATCATTACTATCTCTAAACCAGTTTTTAAGGATTTCTGAATTACTTGTCACCAAAATCAACCAACCCTGTCAAAGAACTAGCGAAACACATGAAGTTTTTGACAGTTTCCGGTTTCATTAGAAAAGGTGAATGAAAACTTTGGTTCCCACTAACCTCAGATTGGTACTTTGCGTTTTGAAGGTTCAAAAAGCATAACTTACCTGAACTGAACGCCAACTGATTTAGTGCAATGTGATTTGCTTGTGTATCATTGTTCAGTAAGACAATACCATCCGAATGCAGACAAGACACCTAAAATTCGTAGGTCTGTGGCGTATGCTACTTATGTTTAGAGATATGAAGAGTATATAACACTAATCAGAAGTGGGATGCTTGTCAAAATAATTCGGATGGGCAGGTAGGTCGACATTGCTACGGAGGTCAGCGCACCGGCGAACTTGACATTTTAACATGGAGCGTAGCACAGACTTTAGCAAAGAAGAAAGTGGCACGGCGAGCAGAACAACCGAATGAGCGACCGTTTTAAAACGAGACGAGTGTGGTTTATGCTATTTATGTTGACAGATATAAGTAGCATATAACACCAGTCAGAAGTTGAATGACTCAGGAGAAGGCTGAGAAGAGAGCGGGAATGAAAACAGAGTAATTGTAATACAAACAGAAATGAAGGAACGATGATGTTTGTAAGAGACAATTGATGGAAGATGTGCAGATGGAGTATTTAATGTATGGTTTTCATGTTTTACGAAGACACTAATTTTCCATTAAATAATGAATTGGTCTTTCCCACGTGAGTGTTCGTTCACTTCAGATCTACACAATTATATGCATCACTCAGAGGTGCCTTCAGTATGTAATCGGCAAAATAACGCAGTCCTACCTAACCTCACTATTCAATTAGAACTATGGGGATTACTGATTGTATCCTTCCACTTTGGGCTTCCGTTTATCTGTAGTCTGTCATTTTCTTCACCGCTGTGTTAGTTGAAGCATTTCTCCATAAAAACAACCGGTGATTACATGTGAATAGAGCATCAACTAGTTAGAATAAAGATCACTCCGCGTTCTTAAAAAACGATACCATCAGTCAAATTAGTGCCCGTATCCATACTAACTTTTTGTTTGTTAAAACATATTCATTCTTGCCCTTATACTCAGTTGCTACTCGTAACTATCCTTCCCGAAATTCTTTCGATCATTTGAAACTAAGTAACTGAATAATTTTTCTGATTCACTTTCTGATCCTATTTTTATTTGTTGTAAGAATTATCAGTAGCCGCATCAACTGTCGAAAGTTTCTGCTACATAATTTATCACTTCAAAACTAAATTCTCACCAGTAGCATCTTTCAGGAATGATACAGTGATTGAACACATTTTCGTTAAAACATAACCGGCAATGTTTCCTTTACGAGAAAAAGAGATCGTCAATATATCAGTAATGTAAAGGAAGATTTATAAAAACCATCATTTGTAAAGTATTGTTATGATCAACACTATGTATATGTGCTTTCTAAGACTGCTTATAACGTAGTGCGATTTAACAAATTCAAATTGTTTGTGTAGTCACAACAGGGTAATGTAATTCATTTATAATGTTCCGGTTTGTGTACTTAGCTTTGAGCCACATGTTTCTGATGTATGGGATAATTGTACTATCCAGCTCCCCAAAACGAAGTACATATAGTGGGGTTCGAACCTGCTACTTATTGTACAATCATAACTGACTAAGCTTCATTATTGTTATCTTTAAGTGTTATAAATAATAATACCCCTAGTGATAAGAGGTAGTCGATAGGAAATCTTAGGATTGAGTTTCGTACCAATTGATAGATGTTAAATGGAGTTATATACAGTATTTGAATAGGCGATCCTCTCTGTGCAGTCCGAACTTGTGTCAACAATTGTTACAGTTGAAAATACCTTAAATTGATGTGTAAGACCCCATTATCACATACGACTAATTAAAACTAAATAGCGACTGACTACTGTAAATACTGTATGTAGTCTTCCGAGCTTCAAACTTTGGCGCTATAATCCGATGATGAAGCATTGCTACAACTGTTTTAATTAGGTAAGCAAAATGGCATATGGCATGGGATGTGGAGTTATGCTTTATCACCAAACCGCATGTCCTAACAGATGCCAGTAACTCATCAAATCAATTTGATAATATTAAGATAGGTAATAATCTACAAAGGTAAGTGAAGAAAAATAAATAAAGCTTTTAAGGAGATTGAATTTCAGTCATATGTTTAACTTTGGTCAAAAACCTATTTAAGTCCTAAGAGCACTGGAAAACTGGCTCACCACATAATGACACTCGTTAACAGCGCTTGTGGAAACCCTGCTAAAAATAGAAATTATGGTCTTCAGACATCTTAGCCACCAACTAACGTTCAGATTATAGAGTTGGTTATTGAATTTTTGCAGTTGTGACTTCAGTGAATTCGCGAAATCGCGCGATAATCCATCACCACCACAAACCAAACATAGTGCCCTCAGGCCTCACGCTGCAGTTTGTGAGCAGTTTATTTGGATCTAAAAACATAAAAAATATTTTATTCTAATGAATCTTTTGTTTTTGTTACTTCCAAGTGTGCGAAGTGAAGTGTACACATAAAATATTATTGTAGTAAACGAGAACACAAGTGGAGACAATCGAATGTATTTGAACACAACATTACAGAACATCTTAGTGAAATCTGAAAACCATACAGTAAATACTTGACTTGCGAAATGTCAGTCAATTGCCTCAAACTTGACTGTTTCTTTTGCAAAAGTCAGTCAATCGTCTCAGACTGTTCCTTTATTCCCACAGCAATCATTCTCTGTTCTCGTTCTCTTTTATTCGACCTTCTGCCTTCGGGTATTACACATACTACTTATATCTATCGACATCAGTAGCACACACCACAAAATCTGTTAACTTTCGGTTTTCGGCCTGTAACATTAAGATTCATTTCTATAAACATTTAAACAATGAACCCTTAAATTTGGACTATTATATGCAATCCGGTTTCTCAACTATAGTCACGAATCTAGCTCTTCAAATTTATTTCATTCGTGTAGTAATTTGTCATCAATTATTTATGTGGAAACCTTTACTATTTATTTAAAGTCTATTGGTATTATTAACTAATATTCACCTAGTTCAGTTGTAAATCCAAGTGTTTTCCGTTCCGTTGTTTTAGATTTTTCGATTTTGATCGTAATTGTAGGAATATGTGTATGAGACTTCTGAGAGTTGACTTAGAACATACTGGATCAGTTCTTTATACCAACTGATTGTATGCCCACCATTTCCTACGTAACCGTATCATTAAATTCTTGTTTATAACATTTCGTAATTATATTACTTAAGTTGGTACCTAATGAACAGGTTTGAAACGCGAATATGAAACAATCCTAGTGCTTACAAAGGATATTAAAGATTATACCGACTAGATTACCTCTATATTTAATCTGGACACTTCATACTTAGCTTTTAAACCGGTCATACTTTCTTTATTTTTTTTGCTGTATCGCTTCTTATGAGTTTCCTACGTCAAAAGAAAACCCCATATGATTTATTATTTAGTGGTCTGTTTGTAATTTTCAGACTTTTGGTTCAGTTGGTTCCGGTCCGAATGTGGTTTTTAATAACCCTAGCGTTCACACAAATGCTTCTAACAAGGGTTCCCAACCACAGGCTACCGTTGGTTCACATTTACATACTAAAGAGCACCCTGCTCAAATGAATGTGGATTTACCTCCTGGAGTGGTATTAACAAATTTATCGGGGCGACAGTGTGTAGCCAAGTTTGACTTCAATGCTGAGTTTCAAGAGGAAATGTCATTTCGTCAGGGAGATCGTCTTCGACTGCTTGGTGAAGAAGATGAGAATTGGTGGTTTGCTGAATTGATAACTCATTCTTCTAGTGGTCAACCAACTTCTCAAGGCTTAATTCCTGCTAATTATGTCAAACTCTTACCAAATAATACGTCCAATCCCACAATTTCTAATATGCGTAGTAATCCTTCTAAAGTTCCACAACCCTCTGCTCAGATTGCTCGTGCTACTTAACCTCCTTTGTATAAGTATAGTTGCAACGCCAATATATGTACACTACTTTAATATATTTGATGAACCAATTTGTCTAATTTCTACAGCTTGTGTTTATTTTTATCGTTTTCTGCTTTTGTGGATGAACTTTCATGTGATAACTATATGGTAAGTGATAGAAACTCATGCTCATCTCAGTGACTGATTCGAAGCTCAATTTGGATCTCATGTGAATTTTCTATTTACCGAAAGTTCATAATACGATCGGTTTTCTGTTAGCAAATTTCAGTTTAAATCTCAGAGTCATTTGAATGTTTTTTTTTAAAATGAAATAAATTGTACTACTGAAACTAACTGGTCATCTTATTACCCTTAAGTTTCGTGATTTGTATTTTTTTTTTCAGAATCGAAGCGTTGCTTTGGTTTTGTTTTTCACTGTATTTTTAAATGAAATATTAGTTTCTCTGACTGATCTACGTTTGCGAATATTTATGTATGTGGGCTAAAATGTTTCCGATGTATATATTTGGTTTTAGGTTATGTCATTGTTTAGTGCATAATTATCCGTGTATATTGCTATTATCAACATACGCACATTCTCTGTAGAAATTACTTTCTATAATAGGCCAATAAATAGTAGTTGTATATAAAACACGCAAAGTTTCTTCAGCAAGTTCACGTCTTTGTTTCGTTGTATGACTACCTCTGTTGTATGGTTTTTTTATAGAATGTTAGAACTAAATTTCCTTTCAAATGGTCATGTTTTTTTGTTGAGATTTCGCCATAAGTTGAATAAACACGATCCCACAGGAATGTTACATGATTTTAATACTCAGTGCGAATCAACTAATTAAAATGTAGCAGTGACCGAGAAGAATTTGTCTCACTAAATATGAGAATAGAATGCATAGATAGTTCAGAATTAATTTGTAATCCAAGTTTTTGCTAAAATGTATTTAAGTGCTTCGCATGTTTGCACTAACTATTAAATCGAAAATATCATTCATAGATTAACTTAAATTGTATCAATCATAAAGTCGTACGAAGTAGTCGTTTAGTATTCAGTAAATATGAAATCTCAATTATCATAAAGGAAAATTACTGTGTCATTGAGGAAAAATTACAGACAGTTCAAGAAAGAAATTTCCATTTTCGACAATGTCATTTACTTAAATTACAAACGTATTCTTTGTTAACTTTTAATGTTCGCACCTTGTGTCAGACAGGAACACAGGCTTCTTTAGCAGGACACAAGAATCTCGCGTCATCTATGTATGCTACGTCTTCAAAACGCGTGTACAGAATCCAATTACGGTCATTCATTTGACTTCACCATGTCAGTATAAAGGACCGGAACGATATACTCTACATGTATCTGAAGACCCTACTGCTACTTCACGCGGCATCGTTAGTATAGTTCAAAAGCAGCACAGGCTTTCCTAGGATGAACGGGACAGTAAGAAATCGGGAAAATACGAATAAATGACGTTACCTGTTCGCTTTCTCCGCCTTCACTAGCGCTGATTGCAACTCGAACAAAGTTAAAAATGAACTTTATGGGAAGCTATCCAGCCTCTTTCAAAAAGCTGAACGCTCTGATGTAGTGTTATTGATAGGTTATTTTAATACTCAAGTTGGTAAACTAAACCCAAGCGAATGGCAGTTAGGCTGGTCTGACGGTGTTGCGACAGTTAATGTCGGCCGTGGACAACCGTATAGACCTATGAAGTCAACGGGCCTCTATTGTTACTACACCCATGTTTTTGACATTTTTTAAATCTTCCTCATACCCCGTAAGTGGATAATTATTTCTCAAACATTTTTTTCATCTTACGCAACTGTGTTTTTATGTTTGAAGTGATCTATTTATATTTTCGACCAATTATAAGGGGTAAGCGGCGTTAACCAATGAATTATCATTTAGACGTACGAGATAACATGACTAGTAAGAGTGACAATTTGTCGCAGAATTCGAAAAATTCCATTATTTTTTTAAAGCAAACTTTTCATTAGACGTTTAAAATACCACCATTTCTGTTGATCTTAGAGCAAGGGGATAGGTCGTAAATCGAACATATTTCACACGATTAAAGATGTTATTCTGTTTCTTGAAGTTAACTTTTATTAACATACGCCCTTTTTAATAGTCTCCTTTTTTGCTCGCGCCCTTATCTGTATGAACCATTACTTCGCTATTGAAAATCTGAAGTTGGTAGTGAGTTACATCAACATTAAAAATGAATTATATCAAGCTGTATATCAATAACTGGCATAGTTGGAAGTGCGATTTACCGACAAATAACTCATCGCAATGTTACCAAAAATGAGTTCTATCGGTCTATAGAATTTCCAAGCAAAAGAATGATTGTTCTACACGCAATCTTAAATTATTGAATATTATTCCTTAAAATAAGTTGTCTGGTTCCCTCTTCACAGTATTCACAAATAACTTATGTTTACCTGCAAAAATCTGCTACAATATCCACACAAATTTGACTTAGAGGATTAAGTCTCTAATTTTTGACTGAAAGAACTGTCCGTACAGATGGTTCTAAAAAGAGATTGATATGGAGTAACTTATTGCTGTTGTAAGCTATAATAAAATACAATGGAAGAGTTTGCTTTTCTAAGCACATGGGAGAAACATTTTGTGCATGAATATTTCGAATACATAGTGGTAAACGTATATTGGACTGTGTTCTTTTGGTTTTTGGATATCATTTACTGTTCAATCAGTGACTAAATTCTCAGATCACATTAATATTTTGCACCAACTTAGGACATAAAATTCTAGCTACACTGAACTTTCATCGATACTCCTTGAAGAAGGTTATGACTCGAAAGTTAATATATGAGTACTGATATTTTCTCAAATGCTTAATGATGGAAATGAAACAGGTAAAAAGGAGTTAGCTCAAAAAGTGTGATGCACTGTGGTACGTGTTGCGAAAAACTCAAGTTATTTCCAATTTAAATTACACGATTTACCATGTGTACGTTAGTAAAAACATAGCTATATACATGTATTGCATGAAGATGATTGATTATGTGGTCTGTCATAGTTTTACTTTTCTACGGCACAGAAAACAGTTATAGTTACCTTAACGAAGGAGTTTATTCCCGTGAAATCTTAGAACTACACTGGATAATTCTCAGAATGCTAAACGTTATCTTTCAGTCACTCCACTACATTCTCTGCAACACCACATCGTTTATTTGTAAAACTGTTTTTTTAAGTCGATTTATGAAGTTGGAGGTAAAGCTATACTAAGGACGACGCACTTACAACAGAACTAAAAGAACGATTTCGGCTAATTTATAGCTCATTACTAAATACAAGGAATGTTGGGATCAATATTTCAACATATATGTAAAGTTCCCATATAGGAGTGCAGAGAAAGTATTCGGTAAGTAGTTGCTACAGACGAGATACGTTTTGTTCTTTTCTGCCAGTAAGCACTAAATTGAAGTCAATAAAATTGACCATGGAGATTCAACATTGTTTGAACAAACTTACTTTCCATCTATGATGAGCACATTTATTTTTCCGTTGAGTCGTGATCCAGATGTATTCACTTTTTATTGTTCACGTCCATCATTGAAACGTAACTTTATGAATAGCATGTATATGAGGAACAAGGTTTAAAGAAAGGTATTATCCCTGTAAGTTTATTGAGAAAAATTTATAACAAGTTATGGATTTTAGTGTTTGTAAATAGTAATAAGAATACTTCTAAGAAAGTGTTTGTAGCCTGTACTGTTTTCACACAAGAAAAGAATGTCATAAACCAAGCTAAATGACATGACATCGCTCTTGAGGACATCCAAAGTAAACAAACGGAGAAAAATGAATATATCCCGTTTTTCGCAAGATAGCATAGGACAACAAACCTAGAAAATAATTCACTTGATGGAACAAAACACAGCGGAACAGTTGTTTTCAGAGAAATGATCTTGTGCCAATTCCAGATCGTTAGTACTACTACTATCACGAAGTGAATGAGTTATTCTTATGAAATCCAGATTTTAAACATGTGTTACTATCTAGACGTGAATTTGGAAAGTAAGTTTCACTCGAAAGAATAAATAGTAAAAAATAATAGTCATTTTAATTTGATAGTAAACAGTGAACACAATTTTCGTATGTGACTTCCAATCTAACAAATATACTTGAATTCATTTATTAGTTTTCATCCGTTGTGACATTTTTAATATTTGGATATCAGTGATTCCGATACTAACTATTCAGCGGCGTTTTTTCAAACTATAACTTATTTATAATGTGATAATTAGTCTATAAAAATAAATTCAGCACGTAAGTTCATTTCACTGAATTTTTCCTATCATATAATTACATATCTGTTCGTGCTTTTTCGCTGTCCTCCAAGCGAATCTGCGGTTAATAAAATTTAACTACATTGCGACTAGTCAGAAAAACCAAATGGTACTCAAATCTTTTCTAGGAATTAGACCCTTGTTGAAAAATCTAATATCAAGCCGCAATCACAATCCATGGAGAAAAATTGTTACATTTGGTCAAATATTGACATCACATTCGGCTCACAAACTCGTTTATAAATTCAGCATTTAAAAATAGATGAAATGGTCTTCAAAGATCTAGATTTTCAGGATCGAGACTAAATATGTATAACTTCTGATTTCCTACCGTAAACCATACGTATTCCAAATGTTTCATCAGCCAACTACAACTTTAAATTTCATGGTTATCAATATGTGAGGAGAGATTTCTTGTGAACTAAAACGAAGCTAAGTGATAGTTTTTAATCATTCAAACAAATAACTTGCTCGTAGTTCTTAAGTTCTCCAAATGATGAAAATCCACAAACGAATTAATGGGCATTTCTCCTCAGTAAGCTAATTTCAAGTGACTAATTATAGGCCTAAATCGATTGTTACATTTTCTCGTCATTACTATCATTAAAACAAAAAACTTGACAGATATTAAACGAAGAAAATAGATAATTTGGTTTATTGGATGGAGATAACTGTCAACTTCTTAAAATCTTATCCGTGATATTTCTCGATTAATCTAAGTAACGATGAGTAAATTAGGTCTACAGCATTTGTACTCCAGAAGTAGCCTAAATGATTATAATTTTCAATATAGTTCACAGAGATGATAGTTTTGTTAATCCTTTGTATAAGTAAATCAATGCTTTCGTTTGTACATAAATGATCATTTCCGCCATGATAAATGACTGTTGGAATGTTAAAGTTTTTCAGAGTGTATGAAGGAGGATCGTCTTGACCATAAATATGTCTATTCATGTACTGTCCGTAGTCAAATTTCTGTAGCAGATGACTGTCAATCATCTATAAAAAATATCCGGAAAAAAATTTCTCACTGTTTAATAAGTTAGTTCATGGTATTTAAGAAAATATTTATTAAATGGTTAAAGAAATATCGCTTCCCTATGTACCACAATATAAATAAGATACACTCCAAAGGCTAATATGATCCAATAGATTTTCTAAGGCTGATGTAATAAGGTATTTCTAATGAGTACGTGAGTATAACTATCACGAACGCATCTATCTTGGTTTTATATGTCTATTTATTGAACTAAACATCGATTGAGTTAAACAATCAAATACATAGAGGAAGAAGAATACTCTGCTTACTCCATACAAAAAAATCAAGTGAAAGCCATAGATTATATGCAAAATTGTTAAGACGAGTCATAACACATCGACCTTTACGAATCATTTACTGAAATGAATTCATTAAAGAAACACTATAATACTTACAAAACAACAAAGAATGAATGAGAATACCTTAGCTTGTAGTTACGACTGGAGACTAGTTATGATATTTAACATAAAATTTGAAGAAACAGAGTAGCGTAACTTTTGTAAAAATCTTTTTTTATAATTCCAGTTGAGTTGGTCTGATTTACTATCTTTCACTTCTAATTGCACTGTTCGAATTCGCAAAATTTTTTCTACCTATTACATCGCTTAGGCTACGTGATAAAAATTATTTTGTGTTTCCTCTATAGATATTTTCTTCGTCTCTGTCATAATACTTGGAACGTTTCCAAAAAAGTTTTCATATTGTGAATAGCTGCTGATAATCAAACAAAATATCCCATGGTTTGTACTCCGTTCACGTCCAAGAAGACACGCGATCTGTGACATACTCTCTTTAGTATTGTGTAAAACGAATAAATTTTGGGAGCGGTGAAAGACTCGCTACTCACACCAGATGTGGTCAACACATTGTAACGCTTCATCATGACATTAGAAGCTTGAGAAAGCTTAGGTCTTGATGACGTAGAAAACCACTTCCCTAAAGGATTTAAAACCTGCGGAGATATGACTTAATTCGTTTTCATTCTACCAAGTATATGATGATAAAAGAACCATACTCATAAATAAAATTCCAAATAATTTTATAATCGAAAGTCAAAAAGCATTTCAAACTGGGGTTGTAGTGATAAACTTGCGAAATACTTATGTATTTTGATCACCGTGTAATACGATCAGAATGACCTGACTTAGGTTCAATCCAATAAGAGCTCCTCACATACGAGTGAGCAACAAAATAGTGCAAATAAAATATAACTGGTTATAAGTTTTACAATGATTTACTCGTGTAAACTACCAAGTGGCAGAATGTGTTATGGTATTCAACTAAATTACGACTAACTAACAGAATGTGTGATTAGGTATGAGATAAATTAATATCTGACTTTTTTTAAATGACTGATTTGGGTAGGGTTCAAAATAGTACCAAATATATTTAAACGCAACTAATTAAAAGGAATTAGAGTACTTAACAAATGACAAGGGTTCTGATTTTTTTATAGGGAGTAGCGATAACTTCAGAAAAGAAAAAGTGGTCAATAAGAAGATAAGGGGATTTACGGAATATTGAGTAGCGAAATGTAAGTTGCGTTGTCGTAATATGTATGACATGATTAAAAAAGCAGTCCAAGGAATCCAATCACGTTCCAGACAAAGCTTAGCTATTTACAAAATGTTTAATCAGAATGATAAATGATCAGATAACTTCACTGACAAAAACAACAGATCATATCTTACCTACGGCATCTACCAGTTTGTCAGATGCTGTGTCACCTAAACCTCTAGCTGTGACTCGAATGAAGCAGACAGTTTGCCGCAAAAAAATATGACCATTAGGTCTTTTTATCGAACCCGATTTCAGTAGACCCGCCGATTCTACTCTCTTAATACAAGACTGTTAGAGCCAAGAATTTTCCTTTACATGATAGTGAACCATGTGAAAAATAATTTTCCATGTTTTCTACAATTCGGAATCTGAAATTGTTGAAGCAGTGTACCTCATTGAAAATCTGATGAAAACTTCAAAATCTCTCAACCTTTGCGCATTTGAATCCACACAGTTAAGGCTTCAAAATTCAGTACAACTAATTCATTGATTTTCATCCTGATGAAAAGCAAACATCAAAATTCGTATATGGACAACCTTAACGAATTGAACAAAATCCGTCCGTCATTAAACTCATCAACTAACATGATTGATTAAGAACGCTTGACTTTACCAGAATCTCGATGAATATATTCAAGTGTACTGTAAAGAGGTTGCTTTTTGCATCTAAGTCAATCTCCAAGTCTCAATTCCATTTGACAGTCTATCAGAGTCACCATTCTACATTGAGAATGAGAACGAACTAAAAGTACTCACCACTAGCGCGATGAAACCTGGATTGAACCTACGAGACGAGGAATTTACACTAATCTGAATTTCCATTAAGAAAGATCCTCCTAAATCGAACAACATAGTGATAGCCCTCATATGAGTATATTGAAATTCCTTTTGGTTTACAAATGAAACACAGTTTAAGTGAATAAAAATTGGGTAATTCGTTACAGCAATCCGAAATCAGCATAGAAAAGAATTTCAAGCAGGTGACAGCATTCGCTAAACTGATTGTAAAATATATTGGAAGAACGCCGATTGTAAACTACTTACACGGAATAATAAACACTTTGAATTTAAGGATTACCCTGGCATATAACTATAACAAAGGAATTGGAGTTTAATCTCTAAGTTCGAATTGGATGCCATCAGTACTGAAAACATCCTAAAAAGAAAATCTCTTTACAGAGGGATCTGTTAGGAATGGGATCAAGCGTAAGATTTAGTGAACAAGCTAATTTTAGTGGTGGTAACACTTTCTTTTTGTAATACTTATACATGGATTTCCCTTAATAGCTTATTGACTAATCGGCTTACAGCCAATAACAAATGATCTAAGTTTGAGCTATTAATCAATGTAAAGTTTATCTATTTAGAAATTAAAGTATTGAATCGATATGCAAATTTATTTCAACGCGAAGCAAGTCGTTATATTCCCGTTATTTTTCCCGTCTGTTGACCACGCCACATAACATCTGTTTCCTCTAAACGTACTGGAGGATTTATTCTTTTTTTTAAATATTTAACTTACTTGGCTAAAATGGACTAGATTTTTAGTCGATGTTCCTGCTGGAGAGTGAGCGATAATAAGTGGAAGACGTGTCTAAATTAAAAGTAACATAAAATCATCATGGTAAAGGGAGAAGAAACTAGAAAAGGTTTACAAATAAACACCGTTTCTAAACAAAGTACAGTTTTAAATAATGTTCCAAGATGACTTGACTTACAAAATTGTTTCGATACTCAAAGTACCATTCATGTGAAAAAGTTCTCAAAGTTCTGGGAACTAATCACACTGGATATTTCAAGTGTTATACACATATCTTGGCACCATTTAAGCTGTTCATGATATCAGAATATTTAGAAGAAATACTAATGTTTACAGATCGTGGAATAATTGATGTTTCATTTTCAAATGTGTTAATGCATTTTTAGTAAGATGAACTCATTCCATTTTCACGTACAAAAACAACTTATGAATAAGATTAAATAGTCAATCACCTTTTACTATCAAATCATTAAACAGATAACATGATTTCCTATCGTTTTTATAGTTATTTCATCATTTAAATATTATGATTATAAAAAAGACAACAAAAATCAAATGGCAGATCATCTAAGATATTTAGTATCGTTTAGTTTCATATTCCATCAATTTCAGCTGTTAATTTATTTCTATACATTTTAGGATTGAGCATAATTGCCTATCTGTTTACTTCAACGATGTATATAGTTCACATATGATTATCTTCTATTCATTTCAGCCAAAATCTATTCTGATCAACTTGCTCTGTTCAGATAAAATGTCATCATTTTATTTTACTGATATTATTGCATAACGAAATAACTTATCTACTATCAACAATTTTGAACTACACTTTTATAAAGTTAGTCCTACATGAAAAATACCGTTTCAAAGAATGAATAAGTTCTAAGTAATTTTAATATGGATTAGGCAGATAAATTATGAAATTATTTAACTATAGTGAATTATTTTAAATTACAAATGTTTTTACATTCTCACCAAATTAGTATTGAAGCCATCATTTCCAGCAATACTATCAATAACTGACATGCACAAATTTGGGCCAAACCCGCAAAGATACTTTCCCAAAATCTTCATATAATCATCCGACGGAAGGACTTCACCACGTGTTAAATATTTTAAGACAAACTGAACAATTATATAGTGATGAACTAGTGGGAGGAAAATGCCTTTCACATTTGCGAAATAGCCAACTGGTCCAAAGGCGATAAATAAATTAATATTTGATTGTAATTCTGGGTTATCATCTAATGCCGTCATAGCGATAAGTGATCCCTTATGCAAAAAATAGAAAAAAAAACTACAAACCAGGAATGTAGTAAATGGAAAATTTCAGAAGAATATGTATAGCAAGGATGGTAATCAAATTATGAACCCAAAGTTAAAATTTTCTACTGGAATTCTATACAAACTGTTTTAGCTAAGTTTTATTTTCTTAACTCTAATAAATGTATATTATATTCAACGGGTTTTCACTGGCGTAGTTAAGATTTGAAACGACGAAAATTGAGCATATATTTGAATTATAATGCACATACTAGAATTAGTGGGAAAAGATTTAAGATTACTACTGATCATAGCCAATCTCTTTAATGTCTGAAAGAAGTTTTGAAATGTCCACCTTATTCGATTAATGAAAAGGGTCTGAGATTATTACTAGGTAGTACAAGACAGAGCATAGTATTTTGCAGTATTTATATAGGTACTTGTTCAGACGATTTTTACCTTACCCTTGAAAATATTCCACCGGAATCTCCAAAAATACAGATCTTCATGGAATTTCTATTATAGACTTAACTAAATTAATATAAAGAATAGTTTAAACAAAACAAAGTGTGCTAGATTCAATAGTTTCATTTGTCTGACCAGTGGGTTTAGACATAGTTAACATAAATATACTCTCTTTATTTCAAATTATATGCGTTACAATGATTTGCACAACTATCTTCTTCGATAAACACTAAATAAATTCTGAAAATCCCAGCCGAAATCCGAAGCAATGTAAGTTCTTGGTGTAACGATCAGACTAATCGAGGGATCATGAATAAATACTGTTTTACCTCATAGCAAAAAATCTTTTATTCCTTAGGATGTAACACAGAAATAACTCGAGCGTGAGGGCAATATTCCTTAAAATGAGTTAGTAACTTACTGTAAAATTATTCCAGTCCATTTTACTTTTAAATGCTTTGTAAGGTTGAAGATAGTCTTTTAAATAAGACATCTTTCTAGTAATTTTAGTGTATGAACCAGATATGAGGACATCAAAATAAAACTTACGATGAGCTTATGGTTATAACTTAAATATAAGTGTAGTCTCTAATTGGACATACTATACATAAGTGATTATTTTGTTTAGATCATAAGAGACGGAGGATCTTAAGAGACCCCCAAACACCTTTGATATTCCTTTGCGTTCTATCGAGTACGTTCAGCAAGTAACTGCAATCTGAAAAACAATCCGTAACAGTGACAGGTCATTCTAATAATCCAACTTTTATATTACATCATATTTATTGTTGGGTTGCATGACAGATGTGTTTGCTATTTTTAAACATCAGAACAAATAATTGCAATTTCAGCATCAGTTCTAATACAAGTTATCCGTTATGGCGGCTTTTTAATTTCGGGCATAACTCCAAGAGCCACCATTTTAAATGCAAGTGCTCCGTTTCCATGGTATAGTTTTCCTGCGTTCTTGGATGTGATGGAGCATAGGGTATGGAATAAACCGAATATTATTATACTCTATTTTTAATGAATTACCATAAAACTCATGAGATTTTTTAAAATGTTTATCTGAAAACTAAGTAGGTTTATGAATGATTCATTTGATAACCTCAATGAGTCAAGATAACTTACCTATAGATAATGAAAGGGAATAGTAATAGCATACTATTTAACTTTCAAATAAACAAAGGTAAATGGTTTACAAGTTATTTTTCAGAAAAAGTATTCTCCCTCATTTTTCATGTTTCTTCACAGAAAAAATGTCATTTACTAAATTGAAAGTATCAAAGAGCAAGAGAATTATCAGCTCTTTACGACAATAAATAAACAGTTTTTAATTACTGAATATAGTGTCTGTTTCTGTACATGAAAACTTATAGCGATGCATGTACTAATATTATCTTAGTGTAATATAGAATACAATACACTTATTCACATGTATTCCTTTGTTCCGATAGCCAAATAACAAGAACAACTGAGGATGCAATTAAATAGGAAAAACACATGAGATGTTCATAGATTATATTGTAAGCAAGCACAGTAAGCAGTCCAATTTGAATCAACATGAGATATCATCAGGTAAGGAAGTATATAAACAATACTTAATCGTTTCCAATACGTACAAACAGTACTGAAAATATACAGCAGTTACAAATTTAAGATATTTTCAATAAAACATGCAATAGTACTACTAAAGACTACTGAGAAATTTCCGTAGTTAAAAAACTGCCCTATTGTGTGTGATCGACTTATTAAATTATTTTAATTTAAAATACTGAAGCTAATCATAACAAAATATTAGGAATACCATCCCAAATACTGCAAACGTTTATGGGACGTAAGAACATTAACAAATGAAAAACAATTTGTTCTCCTAGGTATTGGTTCATAATCGTTCTAACTGTAGTTTCATCTTTTCTTCACAATTACATAATACTGAGGAATTGGCATAATTGTTATGATGGATTAAACGTCTAAAGTGTTGCGATGTGTGGGAATTTCCATATTCCAAAAGTTTAATAGCTTACATGTATTATACGTATCGAATGCTTTAGTAGAGTGAAATATTAGATATTATTTTAAAACAAATAAACATAACTAAGGGATGCTTTGACTAAGACACATAACCAAAGAATCAACCACTGAAACTGCACGTTTAATTTTTTCGATATGATTTGGAGTTTTCTCTTATACAAACATATTTGGGTATTTTCTCATATCAAACATAACAACAAAATAAATCTACGTTACTGAGACTGAAGATTTTTATAACTAGTTGCAGACATTAATTTAAATTAAGAGACATTTTATTCACTCCAGCAGTTGTCTTTATAGAAACACTACTCGAAAATAATACAATATGTATTATCTGATTATTTTAAGCAAGATCGTTAATGATTTGTACTTCTACAGTGAATTTAAAGCTGAAGATCAAAAGAAGAGAGCTTAAATTTATGCGTTGTCGTGAGTAAACGCAATGTTTATGCATCTGATGTAAATAGTGATGTCTAGCAATTGAAAAAATCTTTGAGTTTACTAAGTCGATATTAAATCACCAAAGGTGTACTATGTGCTTACCTGAGAAAATCCAATATAGCTTAGTTGTTTCATCTTAGTAACAGATATAATATATCTGATTGTAGCCGGAAAATCATAACTCGACATTTCTTGCCATGAAAAATCCCAATATTCTTTTTGACTTGAATCTAGATGCTTATGTTTTTTTGAATATGTATTGCCTCTGCTGTTTCCTAGCCACACATCATACCCATAATCAGCCAAAATATATCCTAAACTCTGATTTTTTAAATTCATCACCCATGCATGTGACGAGTCCAACAATCCATGTTGCAATAAAACAACTTTACGCTCTAAAATTGCAAAAAATAATGATGTTCCTGATCTTGGAAGTGAAACACCGTTAAAGATTTAAATTCAGCTCACAACACTTACTTTGATAAACTGACTGTTTTGTGTAAAGTCTAATTAAACACAGAATATATTGATCACTGGTAGTAATCTCATGTTCTTCGACTAGATAGCCTTGTCCCCGTATTATTTCACTCTTTATAAGCAAAATGTAAGTTACCCTTCAAAATCTATACTTACAATATTCATATATATCTCCGGGTCACTTTTAATTTCGAATAGAGAATCAACTAGATGTAGATGAAAACACAAATATCCTATCCATCCTATTAGGAATACAAAAATCATAATGTTTGTAGGTGAATACCTAGAAAAAGATTGGTGAATGCACTAAAATATATTTTACTTATATTTTCGTAGAAACAACACATATGTATATGTTTGTATAGATAACACTTAAACACGACAAAATGAGGCCAGATTTGTTAACTTTGTACTTAAACAACTCAAAAAGTAATATTTATCTAAATATTATATTCATTTTGAAATAACCTTTATTTTATGCGTGTACCGTGGTCTGACTAAAGTGATAAAAAATGTTTGCTTGGTACATCTAAAATTCGTAGATAATTTTTTTTGCCAAGCTCAGTTTCAACGACTGGTTGTTTGATTTTTTATGGACATTAATTAGGAATTATTTTTATTAGTCAAGCAATTATTGTCGATAAGACAACATAATAGTAATAATAGTAACAATAATAATTATATATATAGAAGCATCGGCCTTCTGACTTCCTAAGAATCTCGGTTGTCATCATGAGGCTATATAATTCTTCATTCGACCCCTAGGGGTTTAATTTGTTTACTCTGCTTAGTGTTTTTTTGCAAGATCGTTTTCTACGGGATGGGGTTGACGGCCCCATTCCCAACCCTCCTCGTTTGTGTGTGCTTGGGATAGGCAGTAACTACAGAAGAGCTACAGGCGGAGCTATATACAGCTAGGAGCTACAAAAATTTTAGAGTTTAAGACTGAGAAGCCAATTCAGTTTAAAGGACCCATGGTTTCATTGTCAAGAGAACCCTGAAACTTCAGTTTTCACACCGAGTATGTTTTCTTCAGACGTTTTTGCCGGTCTAAACTAACCCTTTAGTCAATTTTACTATGATATAAGCATCATCCATTAGAATTTGTTGTTAATTGTCTAACAAAGCATAAGAAACTTATAGTACACTATTTACTAAAAAGACGTGGAATACGTGCATAAATTACTTCAAGCTTTTCGAATGATTTTTCAAAATAAACAAAGAGACATATCATACATTCTCAGCTGCTAATATTTGTGGTGATTTTTTGGTGCGATGGACAAGGTTTCAACGGGTTGGAGTGGAAGTAACCTAAAAACTTTTCTCCAACAACCCATGACATTCTAATCACATTCGAAGGAATGATTATATAATAATATGTACAATAATTTAGATATGTTGGTAATGGCTTTTTAAGTTTATGATATTAGTGATCGTAATTTCAGCATATGTTAATGATTAACTTATGTCAATTGATAGTCAGTTTAGTTTATTTAAATCGAACTATTTGTCTCTGTGAATAAAACATAAAACTCATTGTATTAGGGACTACACTTATATGGATTATTACAGAATATTTAAGTTATAACCATAAGCACATCATAAGTTTTATTTTGATGTCCTCATATCTGGTTCTAAAAAGATGTCTTATTTAAAAGACTATCTTCAACCTTACAAAGCATTTAAAAGTAAAATGGACTGGAATAATTTTACAGTAAGTTACTAACTCATTTTAAGGAATATTGCCCTCACGCTCGAGTTATTTCTGTGTTACATCCTAAGGAATAAAAGATTTTTTGCTATGAGGTAAAACAGTATTTATTCATGATCCCTCGATTAGTCTGATCGTTACACCAAGAACTTACATTGCTTCGGATTTCGGCTGGGATTTTCAGAATTTATTTAGTGTTTATCGAAGAAGATAGTTGTGCAAATCATTGTAACGCATATAATTTGAAATAAAGAGAGTATATTTATGTTAACTATGTCTAAACCCACTGGTCAGACAAATGAAACTACTGAATTTCGCACACCTGGTTTTGTATATAAGGCCTTTGAGATGTCATCAAACTTATAAGGTACACGCTTTCTTAATTGATAACCCTGTCCTGTTCAGTGAATCGAAGGAGTACAACGATTATTGATCCGTTCTAAGTAGGATATTCGTGGGTATCATCGCACTGTAAGACTGGAGTTTCATTTTGAGGTAATCCTGCCTTCTAAGGAATATAGACAGTACAAGGATAGAGTAAACAGCGAGAAGCTATTTTTTTTCCAGCATATGAATAAAGTAACTTTCGGTTTGCTTCTGCCCATGTTTGCAATTTCAGGTAGGAAGATAATGATCAGTCAAAACTTGGTGGAATTCCTCGAAAACATTATTGTCAATATGTGAGTTCAGTTTGGTGAATTTACTTGTCTCGTCACAATTACATTAATTAATGACAAAAGTCACAGTTATTTTTCATGTGTACCTGAATTTACAAATTTCAATTTAGTGTAGCGGATAATGAGATCTTGGATGATTACAAAGTGTTTTATTTTTATTTTTACTGACTTAGGCTTGATTTATTTTTTTTTGTTGCCAAGCTACGCCATTACATAAAAGTTATCATGTTTTCTACAGATCGATATATAAATATTAGTTACCTTAAATATAATGTTGTGTAAAGAAATATTTAGACAGAATATCTTTTGCATTATATTTCACTGCATTAATAAAGTGATATATCCCATGGAATATCGGTACCTGATATTGAAAGCCTTGATTTGGATGACGTAAATGAGACTGCAAATACAAAAAATGGGGATTTATTAAACACCAAAATAAACCAAAACCATATCTAAATTAGGAATTGTAAATTCAGGTACACATGAAAAATAAATAAACAGAAGTGAGAATATGACAGATCCGCATGCATATGATGTTTTTTGTAAAATAAAGTATTTTCGACAAAGGTGAAACTGAGTGGATTAAAATAATCTGATAAAATTAACTTTAAATCCTCGAAATGTACGTAAAATAGAATTTAAACCAGATTTTTCTAGAGAACATCAGCCTAAATTAGTAAATGCTAATTTAATGCCAAAAAGAATTATAAATCCTTCCATTAAAAATCAATGAAAATATTTTAAATCTAAATCAGATTAATAGTCTTAAATGAGTTACACTTAATTAATTTTAAAAAATACAACAATTAAGTGATGTGATGAAAAGTTCCCGAAGTTTCAAAACATTGTCTGACTTCATAAGCAACCATATAAGCGGTACGACCACAAGATTCCCCTCGTTAGCATTAATATTAAGGAACTCAACTTCTGTTCACATCACTTTCCTAATAAAGTGCTTCCGATAAGTGGTCCAAACTAGAACGATTTAGTATTCTTAATTCACTACCCTTTCAGATGTTAACATGCTAAATCTCAGGTTAACAGGAATTTTTTGTTCCTTATTGACTTTTACTTGTGAATACCAGTCACATACTGACTACTGGTTACTGTTGCTGAATGCTTTCATTACTTAACATCAAGGCAGTCCCTACACTTACTTGATCTCAGTTTTGACAATTCTTGATTCAGAATTCGGCGGTGGTTATGTGAACTGAGGTAAATAACTTCAAATTCTGTATTATCAAGTCTAATTATATGTGAACTTGTTGCGTAATTCTTTTTGGGGAAATTCAGCGTAATTTTGGATCGTTTGTTCGACACTTTGATAACCTACATAAACATAGGATTTAACCCCCTAGTGGTCAAAGTTACATGTACATCAGCAAAACGGAAACCATTTTAGTTGTCTAAGCATTTTGGTAACTGACAACCAGTATACAAATATCTATGTATTTACTCAAGTTCGCATATTTGCTGTCCTACGCTAATTTGAATACATATTTCTTTCCATAATTGATAGTTATGATCCGTAATACACTCCAATGAAAACCTTAAACCAAATCAATCATAAGCAGACGATGTGAAACTATTTCCACATATATACTAGTTACAATCTGGCAGAGCATCAAAAACACACAAGTATGTTGACTTATACCGATTAATTCCACTTCTGTGAACCGTACGCATGCATTTGTATAGGAGCGATTATGAATTTCAAAATTTTCACTTGAGTTCTTCTATGCACTAACGGAAATCATATCAATTTGAGATGTTGTAATGAGACAAAAAATAACCGTAACTTTTGTCTTTAATTAATGTAATTGTGACGAGACAAGTAAATTCACCAAACTGAACTCACATATTGACAATAATGTTTTCGAGGAATTCCACCAAGTTTTGACTGATCATTATCTTCCTACCTGAAATTGCAAACATGGGCAGAAGCAAACCGAAAGTTACTTTATTCATATGCTGGAAAAAAAATAGCTTCTCGCTGTTTACTCTATCCTTGTACTGTCTATATTCCTTAGAAGGCAGGATTACCTCAAAATGAAACTCCAGTCTTACAGTGCGATGATACCCACGAATATCCTACTTAGAACGGATCAATAATCGTTGTACTCCTTCGATTCACTGAACAGGACAGGGTTATCAATTAAGAAAGCGTGTACCTTATAAGTTTGATGACATCTCAAAGGACTTATATACAAGTACCTGAGTTAGAGTTTGATCCCACAATAATCTATCTCCATCACTTCGGTCAAGCCGTCAGGTAAGGCAGTGTTGCCTAATCTCTCTACTCATACTGAACTTCGCTTAATGTGACATTCTGGAAACAGCTCTGATAGAAGTATATATTGGTGGTGTGTATCAGTTACCTGAAGAAACGCTCTCCTACTTTGAGTATGCGGACGATGTTGTACTACTCTGCGATGATACACAAGTCATCTAATCCATACATAGTCAGTTGGGAATCAGCGTCCATAGGTATGGCATGGGCCTTGAAACTAAGTGCAAAGTACATGCGCAAGACTGGCATGAATCTGTAATTACACTTCCTATTGATAGTGAGCAGTTAGAAGTAATCGAGGTCGTGTTCTTGGATAGATATGTAAATCCTAGTGGTGGCGTGAGTGATATCACTTTACGTATAGTGAATGTTAGAATGACTCATGCTAATCTGTACAAACTTTGGATCTTTCAGGATGTGATAGTCCATATGTAGAAAGCCGGGTTTACATAACGTTCTACTGCATGGTTGTGAAATCTAGTCTCCTAGTTGAAGATGTTAATTAACTCTGTGTTTGACTACCTTTGTCCCTGAAGGATTGCCGACATCTAGTAGCAACATCATGTTAGGAATGCAGAGCTTTAACATCGTGTGTTCAGTCACAGAGATGAAAATTCAAAGGGTGCCAACATCTTGAGACACCGACATCAGTGGCTTGGACATGTAGTGCGAATGTCGTTCGAGTGAGTTCCATGCCGTGCATTATTTGACGATTCTGAGACTGGTTGGAAGTAGCTAAGAGGTGATTGGTGCATGACATATTGTCGTGGTAAAAAAGAATGCTGCTGCAGGACTTACTTCTCTTGGACCTTCACGTCTTCCTGGTTCGAGTCTTAAAGACTGAGTAAGTCAATGGCTTGAGACGGTATCAAACATGGGTCAGAATTGAAGTCAGTAGCGATCCTACCGTAACTCGTTACAAAAGTGAGTAATCTCTCGAACTGAAAGGACTCTTCCTCGTTTTACTTCTTATTGGACTGCTTCTATCATTATTGTTGTTGTCTCACTCTTATTCATTAATTACCATTAATTGTTGCTCCTCTCTTTTATTACTCTTACTTTCTTCTCTTCACAACCTCAATTTTGTTGTGGCGCATATATATTTTGGTGCCACTGTTTATTAGTTCAAATAAAACACCCTCCACTATGAAGACAATTTTCTGCTGACTTCAAAATCGGTAGTTAATTACTTTGGTTGGCTGCGTATGTAAAAATGGAAGTAAAAATGCGTGCAATGATTAAGCTTCAGGAAACTCACCATTAAGAGGTCTTTCACAGTAAATTAAGAACTAGTAACGCACACACATGTTTATATGATAATTAAATAGTGAAACTCCAGATGATCAGAAAATGTAGGGATATGTTCCTGTATTTTGGTGTCATACATTACATCATACGAGCGGTAGACTGCATCCCGATCACAATCGAGCATAATAACTACTTTACGATTAATAAATACGAACTAGTTTTTTGGACACATCTTACTGACCAAACAGAGGACCATACTGCAATGATTTTCAAAACCTGAGTAAATGAATGACTTGGCACGGGGTCCCAGAAGTTTCAAAACATTGTCCGACTTCATAAGCAATCATATAAGCGATACGACCACAAGATTCCCCTTGTTAGCCTTAATATTAGGGAACTCAACTTCCGTTCACATCACTTTCCTAATAAAGTGCTTCCGATAAATGGTCCAACATGCTAAATCTCAGGTTAATAGGAATTCTGTTGTTTGTCATTGATTTCTACTTGTGATTAACAGCCAAAGACCGACATCTGATCAGATTTGTTTGCTTCAAGACAGTTGTTCTTGACGTACTAATTTCTGGGAAGTCAGGTGGTTGGTTGGTCACTGGATTATGAATGGTTGGAAGCATCAGTTTTTCGAGGATCGACCACCATGATACATGGACATACTATCTCATTTTCCCACCGGCATCGTCCCCTCGGTTACCAGATATAGCAACTATTTTCACCTATGCTGTTGTCGGTTTGAACTTTTATAGCGTTGTTACAACTTTGGCTTCGGACAGTTAAACTGAGCTTCGAGTTATGAAACACATCAGTATTCACCTAGTGCCTTATTTCCATGTTTTTGTAAACTAATGTAAAGTGCGAGTTAGTGTACATAAATGACACCGTATTCAGCCGCAGTCTCATGATGCTTTTTAGTCGTCTCTCTACACCCGTGCGACAGGCAGTGTTGACTCATGGGATGCTAGCAGAATTCTCAAATCGAATCGTAAATTCTTGTAGTCTTAAAATGCGGAGCTTATCGCTACACAATCGTCTGGAAATACTTATCTGACACAACTGTCTCACGCACAAAGATCGTTGAGGATACTTCTGGACAAACGGCAGATAAGAAGCGCTGAAATTACGAGCATATTAACGTTTATTTTATAAGGCACAAATTACAAAATTTCCACTCATTAAAAAGACGTTTTTTTGTAGATCGAGCTCTGGACAACCAGCAAGCGCCTTTACGTTTGCCAAGGAAAATTCGAACCGTATGGCTGCATGTAGTAAGAGTCCCAGTTTGCCTACAAATCAATTATGAAAATCCTTTTGAGGAAATAAAATAGACTTCTAAAAGCAAAAACATCCTCGGTCTACGACAGGAACCCTATTCTTAGAATGCACGTTACGACACTATTGTATGCTAAGAAATTGGAATAATTTTGTGAATCGCGTCTCATGACCAGCATTTGGAATGTACTTGTCTTACAATATAAGCAGCAAAGCAGCGTCACCTTCATCAATGTATGGACAACCACCAACTACTATTATCTAGTTTAGGCGAGTACTATCGATACGAAACCAGTAGTTGCATCATGTGCAGACTGTTAGACGAAGACAATCCTAACCATGTAACAGAGTACGAAAGAAAAAGTAACGCGCACTCAGTTTACTTTTTACTAAAACAGCGTGTGATGTATTATCTGCTATCCGATATAAATTCTCTTGAATATATATTGACTGATAAACTCATACACTGAGAACATTCAACCAACACAGTAGTTCAACCTGAAAATGTATTTAAAAATGAAGACATAAAGCGGGAATTGTCACACGGCATAAACTTGTACTTCAGAAAAAATTGGAGCAAAGTTTATTGTTGGGGAATAGGAGGATGACCAGGAGCAGGAGGCATGCTAGGAGCACATTGTATTGATTGTGTGCCTGGCATAGTCTGTCCCGGAGCTCCAGCACCAGATTGACCTGGTGCTCCTGTTTGCTGCTGTTGCCACGCTTGCCAAGCTTGCCATTGTTGCCATTGCTGCCACTGAGCGTAGTCGTACTGAAAACGAAAAGAATGGTGGGAGCCAAAACGGAACCCGTCAGAATGAATCACAAAAAAATTACTTAACACAATGAAACTATTCATAAAATCCGCTGACTGATTCTAGATATGCGGACAAACTGCATACAAGAGAAAAGTTTAATGTAACCTCACCTGTCCAGCAGCCGTTGGTTGTGCTTGTACAGGAACTTGAGATGGTGCACCCGCCGGTGTACCAGATTGAGCAGCCTGCACGTGACCTGTAGGTACTGGAGCTGTCTGTTGAACAGCAGCCACTGAGGGTTGTTGAGCCTGTCGTAGAATGGCATCGGCGCATTCATGCATTCCTTGACGTCTGTAGTATTCAGCCCAAGCTGCACTGTAATCAGGTTGACCGGTGTATGGGTTGTACGTAGGAGCCGGCATGGCAGCTGCCGCAACGGCATTTTGGGCACAGTTAGCCATGGTCCATGGATCTGGAAAAAAAACACAGAAAGTTACAAAACACATTAGTGTCAATTACAACAAATTTAGGTGTGAAAGACCGTCCCGGTATCAGTCTATCTTATTTTTTAACTACAATTATCGAGTCACCCTTCAACTCCAACATTGTAGAGCTTTTAAACCCAATATTACATCCGACAATGAAATCAAATTTAACAAGTGTCAATCACCAGCAATTTTTAAATGCTATTTCTCAAACAAATAAAAAAATCGAGTACAACGTAAAGATGGGAATCGTCATTAAGGCTTACAGCTGGTGTTGTTCGAAAGTTTCAAGCCGCCGATATCAGTTTGAGCCAGTCACTCTCAATGCCCAATAATTGTTTGTTGCTGCTTGGTTGAGTGCAGCTAGCTCTGACTGCGACACAGCTTCTAAAGCTGTCAGTCAGTCAACAAAAAACATTAAGCTTACCTGCATGTGGGTAGCCGTATTGACCCCAAGGCCCAGGAACAGCACCGGTGGTAGTAGCTGGTCGAGTCATGGGAATACCAGCACGCTCAGAGATCATTCTTTAAACACCATCCGACATCCAGAGAAATGAGAACCAGGGATTAGTGAATATACGAATGGCACGAATAGGCATATACCGAAATGATAAAGACAGTAACAAATAGAAAAATATTGCTTTGATAATCGGAGTAAGCACATACACATTTAATCAATTACACAAAAGGCTTACATGGAGGTGATACTATCACAAACAAAGAACATTACCTTATGGCTTGTTCTATCTCTTGTCTGTTACCACGGACATTAAATATTTTGATAGAGGGATCTGGCGGTGGTTCCTTTGATATTTCGACGTGGGCTCCGCTGACGCGACAGATCTCCTTAATCGACTCTCCACCTTTACCAATTACAAGTCCTGCTTTCTCAGCTGGAACGGCATATTGGGATGTTTCCTGACCATCGTATCCGTAATGCATTGACCCTCCAGGACGCTACAGAGTATATTAATAAACAATTTGCCTTACATCTCGAGAATTTATAAGAACAAGAACAGCTTGTCGTGCTTTTTCCACTCGTGCCGGTTCACCGGATATTCTAAGTGGTTTGTCTTCAGGAGTCGGGTTGTTTGACTGTTGGATAAGCACCATTTTGACGCCATTTTCTTCTTGCAAATTTTTGATAGTCTCGCCGTTTTTGCCGATCACTAAACCTGCCTTCAAACCAGGAACCATCATTTCAATAGTTGTTATGCTTCCAGTTGAATTATAAGCAGGTGTAGTTGGTGTGCCGTTCTTTCCAGCACGCTCAATTATGTCACCGATCATTTGTTTTGCATGACTGAAAATCTAGTTATAGTTACAGAACTTACTCAATTTGCTGAGGAGTTCCAGTTAGAGTTACAGTACGCTCGGGAGTACCAGCTAAGATGTTAAACAGGGAATAGACGCATTACCTTGAGATATTTGAACCTTGCATTGTGTGTCATTTTGGAGTTGTGTTATTTGCTCCCCACCTTTCCCTATAACTGCACAATAGGATAACTACATATTATGAAAACTGACCTAGGCCAACATATCTATCAGGGATAGCAGTCTCAGTAGTAACAACTCTGGAACCAACAGAGTTGTTGTTTGAGGTTTGTGGTAGAGTTGTGGTCGGTTGTGAACCACCTAACTTCTGATTTATCCGAGCAGCAGCTTCTGCAGCAGCAGCTACCTTGTCCATTACTAAAGGGCGTTTTTCAGTCGTAGCAAAATTGTTATTTTCCTCCTGAGCAGGCCTTTTCATACCAGCTATGCCACCATTGGTTGTGGACCCGTCATCGGACATAGAAAATTTTGAAACAATCTAAACAGGAAGTGAATGAATACAGGACCGAATGCAAACCACCTGCTTTGCTCGCTCGATGGCGCTAGCATAAGCCTCGTTACCTGCCATGGGGGATACAATATGGCCGATATTAAAGTGGCCTATTAAAAGAAAAATCAATAAAGTCTGAAAAATTTTACTTTTCGCAGATTTTTTAACTGATTTTAATTTAAAATTATCACAAGTCTCTATATCATACTTGGCATAAATGTTGGATTTTTGATACATCTTATTTATGTGAACTGAGGATAACCTATGAGAACTACATTAAAAACAACTTGATCTATTATATTGGTATACGTATTTAGTCATTTTTCGTTTAGATTCGTGTTTACTTGAAACGTCTGCAAAAAGATGTAAAATTTTTTTAATCTTTTGCTTATCAGAAATTGTTTAAAAAAAGTCCACCAACTACTAACCACTAATTCAAAGCATTTGCTCTCTTGAAAACATTACTTATCTTCATTTGTTGTTTTGATAGTATGAACAAAATATTTAGACTGCTATTATCATTCAAGTGTTGGACCATTATGTGGTAGACATAGCCGTCTCGATGAATAATTCCATCCACTGTTTTTCTAACCGCGACGCGAACCTTTTGAAATAAAAGCGATGCTACATCGTCGACGCTTAAACCTAAAAAGACTTCCAAAAAGCCGCATGCCGAGGCTAGTGAACCTAAAACAGGGCCTAAAACAACGACTTATCCTCCTACCGAAAAACACAAACACCTTAAGCTTATATTTTATTAATTACAAAGGGCCTCATTTGCATTCACCACTATCAATCAGTGTGGCTAACTTAAAAGGAAAGGTATCTGCATCCAAAAAATTCACTTCCCAAAACAATATATTGGATTAGTTGGACACAAATAACGATCGTATTATACGTACCTTAAGAAATGGCAAAATTCACTTCTTATACGGCTGTGACTTTGTGATAGATGGGTTCGCTAATATTCTGACAAAGAAATAAGGGTTCAAGATGAGACACGCGCTCTAGTCTTTTTGGTACTTTTGTCAGGAATGTACGGTCAATCCTCTCATAAAATCAAGGACAACTAAGACTTCTTATACAACAACTCAATGGACAGAATTCACTTCAGTTGGAATATGTTGTGAGGTTGGCGGAATGTCATTAAACCCAACTCTAGTTTTATGTCGAGCTGAATCGGTCGTTAACCAACATGGTTCTGGCACGCACTGCAGTGTATTCACATGTCATCTGAACTGAACCTTGTTAGCCTTTTATATTTAAAAAATCACTTCACTGTTAATATTCTGTATGTCATCTAGGACTCCCTAACGTGACGATCGATGTGATCTAGGGATTGGCACGAGGCAGTCCGAATAAAATATATATAAACACTATATACAGCAGTGGAAGTAGCTGTCAAGCCGCCTAAGAGTGTACACCGTGACGGTCATTAGCGTACGCTGATTACCTCTAATATACATCGGATGAGAGCTAAAATTCCATACTTTATATAACTGTGTAGACCCAAAGATAATAATATCGAAAAAAGACTAACTATCTCTTGATATCAACGTTAAGAGCGCTGGAGTGCATAGCACGACGCTGTTCCAGAGTGATAGGTAACACATAGACGAGGATGTATATGTGACTTACATCTTCAGCCACTTCAATAACACAATACTGAATCATAGATTTTTGAGCTCCCATTTTTCAAATGGTTGTGTTTCGACTAAAAAGATATCGAGTACCTGATTTGTAGAATATATCTTCCTTCCACCATTGACACCAGACACAAGGTCTAGATATTGCAAATATTATTGCTGCTGCCTCAACCTATGTATATAGTAAAGGATTTCGACACCACTTTCCGAATCTTCTGAGAACAGATATCGAACCTATGGAACGAGTCGTTAGTCAATTAGTATATGAAGCACTAAATACAAGGAGATGTGATATTAAAATACCAGCTGTCAAACGACCAGCTTATAGTCGAGAATACCGGTGGATACTGTACAGCCAGAAAGTGCGGAACCATTTTAAACATATAATTTTATCGATTCATACCCTTTGTGCTAAAAATTGACGAAATCGTTCTTGCCGATTGCGAAGTCAATTCAGGGTCTGTAGATTTCGACTTTACAAAAGAGTGAATCAATCATTATGTCGAACAAAATAGTTATATAAACTTACACTCGACTTCTCCATGAAGTGGTGTGAAACACAAGCCTGAAAATATTATGGATTTCATGCCGCCACTTCCGATCATATTGCCTGCCAAGCTTCGTAAGGAAAACGTTTTCTTAGCGAAAATCAAGTCCGCTACACAGATTTTGACGAATAACTGTCCACATTATCTGCCAAAATAACAAAATACCTCCCAGACAGACGGTATAACCCCCAATTCAAGCAATAATACGATAGCTAAAACGAGAGCACTGACATGAAAATACGAGGAAACTACACACCAACAACCAGGTATAATTTAACAGTCAGCCTCCAAAGTAATATAACACCTGAACCATGAGAAAGAGCCCTGATATTTTAGTGCGTTCATATCTGACTGTATTCACTTTTAGCTAACCCCATATCGTATTTACGCAATCTCTGACAAACCACTGATCGCTACAAATGCTAGACTTCGTCAAACAGAAATACGATCGCCACCGAAATTATATGTTACTAACTCCCTTACCACGTATAATACAAACCTCTTATGAATTAGTAAATGGATTGCCAACATATACTTTAAAATATGTGATAACACAGTTGGTAAGGTTAAAGCCATTTTCATGAAATAACCATGCTATCATGACAGGAAAAGTATCTGGAAAGTTGAATTCTTGGGAATTTTTATTGATATTTTTGTTTTTGAATTAATATTTGCTTAGGTTACGGCATTTTTATGTTTGTGTGTGTCTCTGTATAAATACTGAGGCCCTTACTGAGAATGAGATACAGTTTAACGAACTACTACCAACTGTCTAAGCAGAACAGCTGAACGAACAGCTGCACATGAATCCATTTGTTCAACGATTACGGCAAGTTCATTCGCTAGTCAACAACACCGACAAGATATCATTTACAACAGTCTTAACAACAACATTAAATACAAATATCTCAACCACAAGCTGCCAATGACACATGAAAACCACGAACACCTGGGTTAACCAAAAGACAGGTGCATGGCTGCTGATTCCGTGAGTAGCGTTGATGATAAAAATGTCAGCAAAATGTTTGATGTGTCGTTTGATAAATATGATATCTGGGGTAAAAATAACGTCATAACGTGTTGCAACTGTTTGGTGTTCAGGTCTCCCAAATAAAAGTTCAAGTGCTCTGATAAATACTTGGTCAACTAGCGAATTACAAATGTCGCTACCAGATGGAAATGTCACAGACGTGAGGTTGTTGGTTTAGAGATGCCACTGTTAAGAAAGATTCAATGACACATACTTTTGTGTCTTTTTTAGGCTAGAAGAAGATTTGAGCAAGGGTTTGGAATACCATGTGTAGTACATGGTAGAGTATTTATGTTTCCAGTAGAAAAATCGATAGGTCAACCACGACTTAAGTGACAATTCTGCCTTAGTATATGTGTGCATTACCGTCACTGAATACAGAACAGGAATCAAACCTGATGTTTATTCTGGAGGTTATAGAGAGATATCTATATGAAATTTTTCAAAGAGAGTGACTAAATATCAGTGCATTTATGGGAACAAAGATAGTGACCAAAGATTTTCTAATATTTAGGAGTTTGCTGAACTTAATGTGAATCCTTGGGTGAGTCCACTGAGACAACCCATAACATAATAAGATCTAACAACCCTGTTACTCATAAGAGGGTTAAGGGTACAAGGCCTACTGACTTAGAAAACAGGGAAATTGAAAAAGATATATGAAATGAACAGCATTACCTAGAAAATAGCAATAGTTTAATCAACCAAACTACTTGATGAGGGTTAAATAGCATGGGGAAGAGGCAACTGTCTTAGTCAAATGGATGAGTGGCGCTATACTAAAGAATATGACGTCATCTGTACACAGTAGATAAGATAATCTAGAAAGGAATGCAAAAATATGAACTATGTATGGCGGTGTCGTTCAAGCTAAAATTTTCGATCCTTCTTGATCTGAGGACGCATATATATTATAATGGAACGTTTCTGATGTGGCATTAATTGATGGTAAGTTAGCCGACTAACTGCTCTCAAAAAGTGAGGAAGATAACTTGTTAATCAACACAACAAAACCTGGGGGGACATGGCGATACGAAATTTTTTCGACGAAAATATAATCTTCAGTGCAGGTCATATCGATTAACGTTCCGAAAGTCTATAAAACGTTCTATTTGAAAGTAGGAGAGCCCACATTTACATATATGACTATAGTTTCTAAAGTTTATCATTTATCTGATAGAAAAGTTTCAGGATTGTTAAGTCATAGGCTTAATCATATTCAGCTTACTACAAGGACAAAGAGATAAAGACAAAAGGCTAGGGGACATAAGTAAGTTGTAGCAGTGAATAGTTATAAGACCGTGAGACTCCCAAGCCGGTTGTTCTATCCGCGAGTGGCATTTTATCTCAGGTAATTTCGTGATCTGATGTTAACACTTGACCTATCGCTGTAGTCATAATTATTTCGGTTAGCATCAATGTTAAAAGTTTAAAAACTGTTCACTGAAGGAAATTTATTTCCACTGAATCATGATAGTTAGTGTTACTGCCCTGATAAAACTCGTGAAATGTTTCATCAACAAATGACAAAGAAAATGTGACAAGCTCCTACTACCAATAAACGCTCAAGCAGACGCTTTCACGTGTTAATTGTGTTTGGTAAAACAATAAGTTATATGACTTCGCAGAAATAAAAGTGAGGTTATCGCCAAAAACGAAGGACATTATGATCGACGTGGTGAAATCAAACTAGAATTTTTAGCTCTGACAAACTTGGGTCTCCAGTTACGCCATTCAAAATAAATGAGTGTACATAAATATTCAACGTGACGAAATACGACGATATTTTTCTCAGTATATAATGTTTCGAATTATTTGAATTATAGCACGAACCAAGAGTCCAAGAAATAACGC